TGATGTAATTGGATATGGTGAAAGAGCAAGGTGTTGAGGTGTTCCTCTTGATAAGAAGTGGTTTGAAGTCTTCCCCCTCCCCTCTTGTGCTGGTTTCTTTTCAAAGAAGGCTCTTATTAGGCTAATGATTGATTTAAATAGGTTTTTATTTACTAGTATAAACTTTTTCTTTTCCTTTTATCTTTTCTTTATTTTTTAAAAAATAAAATTTTTTTCTTACCTTAGGACCATAGAGATTAAATTGAGGTAACAGTCTTGATGAAAGGCTAGTGATAATATTGAGATTAACAAGAAATATTTTTCAAAATTAAGTAATTTTTTCATTTCTTTTAATTATATCTAGAGGCTATTGGCTATTGATAGGTATGCTATATTTGCTTTAAGAAGTTTTATCAATAGTATATATATAATCGATATTATATATATTCCATAATACCTATACTAGAATCTATTCAATTGTTGAATTTGAAACTCAATAAACTTAATGCATATAGCCTGATTAAATGAAAAAAAAAAACAAGTAATTGAACTGAAAATTAATTTAAAAAGATTTTTATTTGTTAATAAACTTTTTTCTTCTTTTATTTTATAAAAAATAATATTTTTATTATATGATTATATCTAGAAAATTGAAAATTGAAATTTTTTAAATAATTAATATTTTACAATAATAACTTAATAAATACACTTTCTTGTAATAAAATAATTAATAAATAGTTAAATTATATAAGCAACATAATAATCTTGATATTAAGGATTCAAGATCATATACAAAATACTAATATAAAAAACTTATTGATAAATGTTTTATTATAAAAAAATAATTTAATATTAATGTAATATTTATATTGTATTATCATTTTCTAAGTAAATTAATAAACATATCCCTAACAATTTGATTAGGAATAAAAATAATTTTTTTTGAGCCTTCTTGAGAGATTGATAAACTATTATACTTATTTATACTTTATTGTATTTTGTTTATGAAGCAACCTTGAAATAAAGTTATCAATTTTTCAAATTCTAATTGTTCACGTATAAAGTTTCTTAGAGTTTTATTTGAGACTTTTATAGTATAACAAACTTTATCAACTGGCTGAACCGTTAACATTATTAAATTGTCGTTGACTGCTAATTAGAAAAAATTTGTTTAACTAGTAAAGTAAGCGATCATTAAAAAGCTGCCACCAGATATGGAAACAATAACCTATGTGCTTTAAGGTTTGTAAAACAAGCTAATACCATATTTGCTATTGACGTCATGATCCACTTTCATCACATAATAAAAGACGGTTACGTAGAGATGCCTAATTGACTCTTCCTTCTGTGATCTTATAAATTGATATCATATCATAGCACATCAAGAGAAAAATATTCGTTATTCATCATGCGAGGTTTAACATACTTAAGGCGTGCGTTCGTAATTTCTCCCCTTTATACATTGGTTTTTCTATTATCATGGTTTGGTCTGGGTGTATCACCCATACCATTTTTACCATTCTTTAACCTTCCACTGATATTACTTCTGGTCCGAACTTCGCCCCTTGACATTAACTTATGGCTGTTCGTCACAATTGCACTGGGTGCAACTTTCGCATATAGGGAACCAACAAATTCACCCATGGGCAGTAGCAACTTTGATAACACTATTGTGTTATTATTAATTGGTAGTTTGATTTCATTTTTCACCATGCTTCCCATGGTTACATCAAAATTTGTCATTAAATACGCCAACAAAAAAGTTGGTTTTTTTAATAAGAATTATACTTTTAAGTTGTTTATATTCCCTGTTATTTGTACCTTAACCTG